TCTCAAAAGACAGTATTATTGTTCTCTCCTTACATTTAGAGAGGTTGTAATTTCTTCCACGTAGTATATATATATATATTATTACCCTTGCTTGTGGTTTTTCCCTTATCAGTTGGGGGTTTTCCACGTTAAATTTATTTTGTTAGTTTTGTTTTTCTCAACTCCATTTTAGTTATATAATACTCTGGTATTTAACATATACTACATTAAGGCAATATGATTTAGCTTATCGCTTGGCCTTAGAATACATAACATTTTTCCAAAAAAAAATTAGGAAATGGAAATTTTTTCTTCAATTATCACTACAAGGCATAGAACTTGTCTTCTTTGTCACCAATTTAGAAAATTCAGACTACAAATGCTCTAATTGAGAAGGCTATTGCCCGAGTTTCCACGTATACTTCCTTTGGTGCTAGTCTGCTACTCAAGCACATCCATTTATGCTCCTAGTGAGGAATACTTAAGCATGTATGCTCCTAGCCTTATTTCTATGAAAATTAATATGTATCCATTAACAAAATTATTTGGAATGAGATTGCACCTTTCATTAATTATATACTTTCCTCCATAGTTGGCATTGTAACACCCCTTGCATCATGAGGTTTATTAAAAAAATAAAAGCTACTACATTATAGGGGTCTACGGGCATTCTCGACAAACTACTTATTAATACTTAGATTTCCACCCATTGAAATGCAATAATCTTCGTACATCCTTATCTCTTTTAACAATTTTTTTTTTCTTTTTGCTTTTTAAAAAACATAGGTTCTACATCAAGTTCAACTTTCTTCTACGTTACTATCTTATCTTTCCTCCAACAACAAACACACTTGCCTCTTCAGCCTATTTTTTTTGTCATCACAAGATATCTTTTACATTTCAATACATATTATGAGCTATGAATCTTGGATTTGGGCATTCTCTAGAATTTTGGAAAACTTAAAAATAGACCTATAACTTTGATAGAGGTCAAAATCTCATTCTAAAAGTACAAGACCTTAAAATAAGCTCAAAATTATTGCAGGGCTACTGTCATAGAACTTACTCTAGTCTCAGTGTTCATATGCTCTGCTACCCCATTTTGCTAAGATGTACACGCAATTGTGAATTGCCTTTGAATACCTTTATGCTTGTCAAATATAAAAAATTCACCACCTGTATATTTTCCTTCATTGTCTGCCATCAAGCACTTGATCCTTTTTTTGAATTCTAGTTCTACTTGTATATTGAAGTCTTTGAAATGACTTCTTAATTTGAAAAACCCAAAATCTATTGGAGCAGCCATCCATGAATGATATAAAATATTTTGCTCCTCCTATGGATATTTCTAGTAACTCACACATATGAATGAATCAAGTCTAGTATATTCTTGCTCCTAGAAGTTGATTTATTAAATTTAATCTACTCTGCTCCCTTGTATCACAGTGCTGATAGAAAGGCAATTTTATCGATTCGAGTATTTGAAGGAGATTATGTTCTTCGAGAATCCTTAACCCACGTTCTAACATGTGGCCTAATTTGAGATGCCACATAGTTGTTAATCCTTCTTGATCGGTTAAAGCTATTGATGTGTCACCCCTTTGTAATGTATCTCCTATAAGTATGTATAAATTTGATGCAATCTTCTCTGCTTTCATCACCAGAAGAACACATCTCACAAGATTCAAGATCCCTCATTCAATATATATCTTGCATTTGAGGTCATCCAATTGCCCAATTGATATTAAGTTATCCTTCAAGTCCTTCCAATGTCGTACCCTTTGAATTGTACGAACAATATTGTTCAACATTTTTAATTTGATATTACCAAGTCCATCAATCTTCAAGGCATGATCTTAGATCCTTCTGAGTTAGATTTATATGTGCAAAACCAATCTTGTTGAGGAGTTATATTCCAAGTTTGTCTTGAATCTATCATCAAGCATCAATAAGTTGTGTTCTGTCTTTAGAAATGATTTCCACTTCATTGTGTAGGATCTTTGCTTTATCAGAGCTACCAATAACACATCCTTGAGAATTCATTGCTTAATGAGGCTCTCTATATTCTTTTTGTTATGCTAACAATTTTTTTCAAGTGCCTTCTCATGCTACACTGATAATAACATTTAAAGTTCTTTCTTTTCTTAACATTGACATACTTTGCTTTTGATTCCCACTCAAGCCACGTACAATCGATCTCTCTCTTATCATCGACAAAGCCTCTACTTGCTTTGAATTTTTCAATTTGTCCCCCTTATTCTTCCCTTTGGGTTTGTATTCAAGAGCAGTAACAACAACATAATTGAAAGACAGGTTGTCAGTTAGTCCTTTATTTGTTGTTCCTACGAGTATGCATTCAATTGCAATTCAATAATTGTCTTTCTTTAGTATTGCCTTGATCTTCAGCTTCCATAGGGAGAACTTATGTCCATTGAACTTCTCAATCTCAAATTTTACTGTGTAAGTGTTGTTGTCAATATTATATTTATTAACTATATTAGGTTACACTATTTCACTACAGATAGTACCATATGTGTGAACAATATTATACGTACAAATAGTATTGTATACTCAAACAAATTTAATATATGTTAACAATGTTGTTAAAGTACACAACCATAATATGAATAGTAACAATGAACAATACCACAATATGTTTCATAACTAGTAATTAATAGACTTTTATACCTCAATTAGGTATTAGAGTATCATACAACTTTAATAGATTTGAGAGAAATAAAATCTAACACAAGAAATTTAATGCTTTTAAACCCTAAAAAAACCACGAGCAAGAGTAGAAATTTTTTCTACAAGTGGAAGAAATTACAATATCTCTAAATGCAAGGATAGAATAATAACACCCTCTCTTGAGATATGAGAATATAATTCACTCTTAGAAAACACTCAGAAGACACTATATATTTTTCTCTATAAATTTAAAATGCTTGAAAATTAAGAATAAGACATGTATTTATAAGTGAGCATAGCCACCATTTAAATTGGGCAGCCATTAAAGAAATAGTATAGGCTGTATAGCCTCCAACAGATTAATGACTTTATCATTTTACATCAGCATATGACATTCAAATAAATATAGCTTATTTTTGTAAGATTTAATTATACATATTATTAGTTTATCATGGTTAATGTATGATGTTGATCTCTCAATATTTTTTAATTAAAAAATTAGGTGTTTGGGTCGGCACATGGTAGTTAAAATCTGGATTTAAATCTTAAAATAAAATCCCGATTTTAACGATTTATTCTTGCTAAAACGATTTAGATTTCACTTAAAATCGTTTCCAATATAAAATACCGATTTAGACATTTACTGAAGTCCCAATTTTAAGATTTAAATCTCGATTTTAACTATTGGAATGATGTTAAGCAAGTTAGAAAAATTGTTGAATATAACATTGCTGATGTTTCATCCGAAGATGAATGGATTGTGGAAAATGAAAGAACTTTATCTCATGATGAAAGTTTAGATGAAGACAATTTTGAATGATGTAGTTGAAGATCACGTGGAACAGAATGTCTTCGATGATAATAACTTGAATGAATTATTAGCTTAAACCCTTAGAGTGTGACAATTGTATGCAAATGTATAAGGATGGTGGCAGGTAGTCTATTTTTCTTAATTTTTTTTTATACATAAGCATATGTATATAAAAATTTAATTTTAGAGTGCAGGTAAAATCTACGATTTGTATTACGATTTTACAATTTACGATTTTTTATTCCCTTTTCGATTTTAAGTAAAATTCTGATTTTGACCACCTTGGGTCGGCATGCTATTTAATTAGTAAAAGAAGTTAATGACTCATCTATCAATTTATATACGTGACATGTCATTTTAATGAATATGGTTTGTTAGTGAATTTATTGATAACTTTAATTTAAATACATCATTTTATATTTAATTTATTTATATTGGGAGATTTATGACTTGTTTGGATGTGTGTTTTTTTCTTTTCAAATTGAAAGTGCTTTTGATTTTATGTGTTTCTTTGGATGCAGGTTTTGAAAATAGAAAAGGTAAAGAAAAAAAGCCAAAATTATATGTTTTCAAAACCAAAATTTTTTTACTTTAAAAAGAAGAAGCCAAAACACTGTTGTTTAGATATTGATCCAAAATAAAATAATTCTAAATTTTAAAAAAGTCCTTTTAAAACAAATAAATACATATATATATAAGTCCTTTTAGATATGAATCTTTAGATGTTCCTTAAATTTATAGGTGAAAATAAATATATATAAGATTTTATAAAAACAAAACGCTATCATTAAATGCGAGATTAACAAGAACAACTGAATTTTTTATATTTTTTATTTGAACTAGGCGACTATTTGGCAACCCTAATTTAAAGTGGACGTTTTAACACAAAGGTCAAGATAGTAGACGACGCTCGAGAACATAGACATTCGAAACTTCTCTGTTAAGCATTTTTCAAAATTTATATATGTTTTTATCAAATAAAAAATTGTAAAAAAAAGGGAAAATATTTAACATTTGTTAACGCGCAGTAGAGAGACTCGTACGAGGTCATTTTTTTTCCATATCCCTGAGTCAAAGTCAAGACTCATGAGCCAATATTCACCGCATATCTTTGAAATCAAAACTTAAAAAAAATAAAAAAAGAAGACAAAGGTATTTATGAAATATTTATTTTTTATTGAGTATATTTAATAAAGAGAAAAATGTATATCATTATAAAAAATGTAAAGTTATGTCATTTTAAGTGAAAGAAAGAGATAAACAAAAAAGAAAAAAAGTGAAAAAAATAAAAAAATAAAAATACGAGTCTTACCTTTTTACGAAAATAACATAAATATATCGTTTAAAAACACAAACATTTTTTTCATTTAATAAAATCATAAATATTTAGCACGAATTATTTGGCAGTGCTTAGTTAACAAGTTAGCACGCTGGAGGCATGATGACAGTGAGAGTGAATCAAAAAGCGCTCCAAAACCTTTCCCTCTTCCCTTCTTCTTCCTTCATTCTTATATAAATACATTTCAATCCTTCTTTCACTACTTTACAAAACCCTCATTTTCTACGCATTCAGCTGAAGCAAGGTATCATCACCTCCTTTTCTTTTTTAAATTTCAAAATGTAATTAATTGCTCTGAAGAGCTTTTACTTCCTGAATTCTGATTCCTCCACCACTCCCTTTGATTTCCCCCTCTGAATTTCGTTGAAATCGTTTTGTCTTGTTCCTTATTTTACTTTTGGTTGTGCTGATAATAAAAAATAAATTAGGTTCTAATTTATAATGCATTCTGCTCATACTGTAAATTGATTACTGGACCGAAAGTTCAGTTCAGTTCGGTTCAGTTAGCCCCTTAGCTAGGTTGTTATAATTCTATTAGAATTGGTTAGATGTTAGTTTGCTGAGCTGTTATCACTCATCAGCTCTTAGCTTCCATAGGAAGCTATCCCTCTCTATAAATATTTTATTTTGCGTTGTATTCAGAATTTCCAAGATGATAATAATACACAGATTTCTGTGAATACTCTCTCGTCACTCTCCTTCTCTCTCATTTTCTCACCTTTTCTTTCATTTTCCCTTACTTTCTCGAAGCTGGGGATATCAAGTTCACAGTATGTTGTAGATAGACTAGTTCTTGGCTAATCTGTTTTTAACCTTTTGTTTTTGATTTTTTGAAGGATTGAAGTTGCTCTGAGCTTTCTCATGGAGTCCGAAGAACTTCCCGCTGTTGCGCCGAAAAAACCTAACCTTACACCTAAGGCTATAATACACCAAAAATTTGGCAACAAGGCCTGCTACATTGTAGAGGAAGTGAAGGAGGATAATCAAAATGAATGTCCAGGATTAAGTGTTCCACAGATGAAACCCTGCCTTTATCGTTGCACATTGCAGCTTCCAGAACTTTCTGTTGTGTCGGGGACCTTTGCGAAAAAGAAGGACGCAGAGCAATCTGCAGCAAAGATGGCCATAGAGAAGGTATCACCTAGTTCCAGTCAGTGTGCAAATTGTTGATTCTTATTATATCATTGTGCTTCTTCCTTAATTCTCCTTTCAATTAGATCGTTCTATGTTAGTCATGATAGGCAGGTCGCTTACTTTTTGTTCATTCACAATTATTTTGAATCTAGCTGCAGCCTCATCTCACTTGCCTTTTGATTTTATTTTTTTTTAGTTTATTTATTCAAACAAGTGTTTTATAAGCCAGCAAGAAGAGGTTTATTCTGTTCTATTTGGTTATTGATTATTATTTTTAATTTTTGAAGATGATATTGGCCTAAGTGGGAAGGATGGGTTTGTTTTCTTGCATTTGGAAATGTTGATGTCAAAGATTCTGCGATTGCCTTAAATGTGAATCTTGCTCTGTTTGGTCTTGTACTAAAATTAGGGGAGCCTTTTAAGTAATAAAATTATGATTGTGTAACGTATCATTCCGCTTCCTACAACATGATCACTTTTTTTTGTAGCATTATCTTAAAATGCTACAGTAGACATTTACTAACTTTATATTTCTCCATATTGTCCTCATTTAGTCCAACAAATGATTCTTCATGTCAAGATGATTTAAAGTAGAAAATGGCTTTATGCTAGAAATTGTCAAATTTTGATAGATGGGCTATAATATTGAAATTGGAAGTTTTTTCACTGGAATTTCATGTCTTGGAACTTTTGCTTGTATGGTAATTTTTTTATTTTTATTTTATTTTATCTCTATTTGGCCAATGCCTTGTATTAGAGACATTTTAATGTGGATTTGATTGTATTTTATCCTGACTCTTTCATAGTAGTTAATTGCGCCGCAATAGCGCTGCGAGCCGTACTGTATGGGCATTGCGGTGCCTCGCCGCAAGAAACCTCACTGGAACGCAATAGCGGTCATTGCAACCGCATTTGCAGCCAAATCGCGGCCATATTGCTGTCATAGAGCAAAATGTTAATTTTGTCTTAAATTTAAGTGTAACAGAAATTTTTTAAGGGTTTTTTAGTCTATCTGCATCTCTCTTTGTCACTTCTACAATCTCTGCTTTTAAAAAATGTTTTTTTTTTGTCATTATTTATGTCATATATCTATTCCGCTATTTCCGCAACCGCAATTTGTTATAGGGCTATAGCATTTTTAGGGGTTGGCCGCAACATGCCGCAATCCGCATTTGATAACTTTGGATTCTTTGTGTCATTATATATAATTTCTTAAAAACATTATGGATAGGCAGATGGATCTTTTCCTAAAACTTATTCTACACCTACATTTTATTTAATATGCATGCTTCCTGTTAGATAGTATTTTCTTATAAATTGTTACTGCTACACAGGAAGTGGCTTTATATTTTATATCTGCTATTTCAACTGTTTACCTGTCATAAGGATTATGGCATTTTAACTTTCACAATGCTACAACTATTAATTACTGTCCTGCAGCTTGGCATCCGTCCAGTGACCAGTGATCTCACTCCTCAGGAAGCAGAGGAAAGTTTAGTTGCTCGAGTCGCCTACTTATTTTCTGAAAAAGTAGGTAATATATTTTTAACCATGTGTTAAGTGATGCCTATTGTCATTTATGAAAAATAAGTGTACTGTAACCAACTATTTTGTTTCAGCTGTCTTTTTTTTTGTTTCACTTGGTCATGAAATTTATTTATTTATTTTCTTAGAGGTTCCAATTGCTAGAGTGATCTTATAGCTATCAGTTCTTTGCTAAGTTAGTAATCAAGACATCTGATGATGAACAGATGAAGTTTGAGAATAGCTACCCCACTGACATTGTTGCTGTATACTATTTAGTCTGTAGTCCATTTCATGCTATTGAATATCAAGGTTTGTTGTAGGGGATGACAAGTGTTGAGATATATAGTCCCACATTGGTTGTATGTGCAACTAATGTGGCCTTTATAAGGCCTTGAGCTAACTTTTGGAGTGGTGTATCCCAAGGTTCTTTACATGGTATCTGAGCTTCGCCGCCCCCCACTTTCTCTTGTGGCGTTTCTTAGCACAGGTAGGCTGGGCCTGTTACATTGTCCCCTCTTCAAGCCCAATGGGCTCTCGTGTGAGGGGGCGTGTTGAGATATATAGTCCCACATTGGTTGTATGTGCAACTAATGTGGAGTTTATAAGGTCTTGGACACTCCCACCCTTTGAGCTAGCTTTTGTGGTGGTGTATCCCAAGGTTCTTTACAACAAGGATTCACTGCTATAAGTATTATGTGATTACTGTATGTTTTCATCTTGTATGGTCCTCTATCCTGTGCAAAATTTTAATTTTTAACTGTAAAATGATGTAGGATTAAATAAATATGATAGTCATTCTTATGGCCTTTTATTACCAAATTGTTTAGTGGCAAGTAAATAATTCTTGTTGAGTTGGTCTGATCTCAGAATTTTTTTGGACATTTATTAAATTATCTGAATTCTTTATTTCTATGTGGTTAATTTTGTATTCTCTTTTTGTCATTCATGTATAATTTACTTTTAGTAAGATATTTATGATTATCTTGGTTGGCCATCATGGTGACAAATTAGTCAAAAGGATATTCAATTTTTTGACTCTGTTGACACAATGTTATCTGTTAATGAATTTTAATTCAGTCTGATAACCATTTTTCTTTGCCATTTGACACTTGAACAGTTTTTTATATCTGATCATCCACTCAGTAGTCACATTCGAGCAACTTTGTGGAGGAAAGGTGACCTTTGCGGAGCAGTTCCTATTTCTGTTATTGCTGCCTATGATGCCAAGCTTTTTAGCTTGTGCAAATGTATTAATCCTGAGGTGGAGTCAAATCCAATTTTGGTTATTTCGTGCATAATGAGGGCCACTACAAAGTTACATGGGATTCCTGCTACTTCTCAGCAGCATCTCTGGATTAGAAAGCAGAGTCCATATCCACAAGATATTATGGAGTCAATAATTAGAGAAGATGGTTCACAAGAATGCATTCGGTTTTCTGCGATACGCATTCCTAGTTCAGTGGAAAAACCTATTGAATCAGTGATGCTTTGTATTTCTTCAAAAGAGTACTACCTTGATATCATTGCAAACGAACTTGGTTTCGAAGATGCCGCCAATGTTCTGATTTCAAGGTATGATGAAATTATAAAAAAGTTCTTTAGTTTAGATGATTGCTTTCTAACTTATTGGTGACCTGTGTCAGGAATTTGGGTAAAGCTTCCTCTGAGACAAGATTGTTCTTTACTGCTCCAAAATCATATCTACTGGATCCATCTTCTAAATTGCCAAATGGAAAAGCAACCCTTCATTTTCAGGAATCTGTAAATGTAAGGGCAAGTTACTTGTCTGGGCAAAATATAATTGGTAATGCAATATTAGCATCCATTGCGTATACATGGAAATCTAGAGATCTTTTCTACGAGGATGTAACAGTTCGGTCATATTACAGGTCTCTTTCAATTCAAATGTTTTGTTGCATTATTTATTGAATATTGGTAAATTTTATATTATCTTCTAGGCTAAACTTACTAGTAATACTTGATGAAAAGAAAGGTTTTATCATATCATGCACTTTTGCTGTATCACAGTGGCCAACTGAATTTTTATTTTATATATTTTTTTTAGCAGAACAACTTTTGAAAGTCTTTGTTGGTTTCTTTGATTATACTGAACAAAATTTCAACTTTACTCCTTGTTGAGATATATAAAACCATTAAAAAGCCCTCACCCACTAGCTTAAGCTTTTGGGTTGAATTGGTTCTTTACATGGTATCAGAGCCTCGGTGTACCGGGTTCGAACTTCACTGCCCCCACTTTCTTTCTAGTGGAATTTCTTTCTTCGCACAGGTAGGTGGGCCTGTGCATTGTCCACTCTTCAAGCCCAGTGGGCTCTCGTGTGAGGGGACGTGTTGAGATATATAAAACCATTAAAAAGCCCTCACCCACTAGCTTAAGCTTTTGGGTTGAATTGGTTCTTTACACTCCTTTGTCATATGTTAGAACTTGGAAATTATGTCCTTCTAGGAATTGTTATCTAAACTAGCATAATGCTGAAAATGCTGATAATTCTGTCTACCTTTATCTGGTCTTTCTTTTCTAACAAATTTGCTACCAATCTATCTAATCAAGAATTCCCCTAGGTGTTTGTTAGGCACCCCATGGTTACTAAACTTAAGAGATATAAAAAAGGATAGTGGAGGAAGAGAAACTAGGGGAAGAGGAGGGATTAGGTTGTAACAACCTTGCTTACATGGAAATTGTCGAGGTATGGGAAAGAATGAGAAACATGGGGTAGCAGGGATAAAAAGGAGGGAAGGTTTTTACTTTTTAGTGGAGGTATCCAGTCATCGAGTGAGGAAGTTGTGGCCTTTGGGCAGGGAGGAAGCAGTCCCTCAAAGTACTGCTGTATCTCTATGTTTTCTTTTGCCATGCTCTTCTTCTCTGTTTGTACAGATATGTTCATGAACTGATATCAGCATCAGTTTTAATATAAATAGAGCTTTTCAATAAAATTATAGTTGTATTTCTGGGTTCCTATCAGTGTTCAATGCATCTTTGTTCTTGTTTATTTTTCTGGGTTAGCGTGGCATATCCGGTAAGGCAGTGATAAATAACCAATTTTTTGTTTGTTAAATATTTTTCTTAAAGAATTCCTGAATTTACTGCAAACTGAATGTTTATAATAAGAGTAGAGATAGAGAGCCTTTTATTATTAAACTCATAAGTTTTCGTGCTCTTCCTACTTTAGTTTCTCTTATGCTTGACCCATTTTGGGTCTGACTTAGTCTAATTTTGTCACATGGATTCTGCATTTGTCAAATCTCTTTTTTGACAAACAACATTTGTCATTTTTTTCTTTCCTTTTTTTTTTTGGTAAAAAATAATTGTCAATTTTATTGAAAAGAAGTTTTTGTATATTGATATTGAATAAATTACATGAGTGAGTATTTATACAAGAAAAAATCGCTAAGAATGACTAAGCGATGACTAATCAATCCTATCACAATCCTAATCACAATCAATTCTAATCAATCACAATTAATCCTAATCAATCATAATCAATCCTAATCAATCATAATCAATCCTAATTAATAGGAAATAAAAACGGAAACATGTTTGAATTCTAATTTTCTACACTCCCCCTCAAGTTGGGAGGTAAATATTGATCATTCCCAACTTGCCAATCAAGTCTTCGAATGCTGGACGGTGTAGGCCCTTGGTAAGGACATCTGCCGTTTGCTCTTTGGTTGGAACATATATCAAATGCACACTTCCATCATCTAATTTTTCTTTGATGAAGTGACGATCAACTTCCACGTGCTTTGTTCGATCATGATGCACAGGATTTTGAGCAATGCTAACAGCTGCCTTGTTGTCACAATATAGTTTTATTGGTAGGGAATATGAAATCTTCAACTCTTGAAGAAGTCTTCTCAACCAGATTCCTTCACAAACTCCATGAGCTAAAGCTCGAAATTCTGCTTCAGCACTACTTCTGGCAACCACTGTTTGCTTTTTGCTTCTCCAAGTAACAAGATTTCCCCACACATAGGTGCAATAGCCTGAGGTAGATCTTCTGTCTACTGATGAGCCTGCCCAATCTGCATCAGTGTAGATTTCAATTGTCCTTTTATACCCCTTTTTAAAGAATAATCCTCTTCCTGGAGTATTCTTGAGGTATCTAAGCACCCTATAGACTGCACTAAGATGCTTCTCCTTGGGTGAGTGCATGAATTGACTAATCATACTCACCGCAAAGGCAATGTCAGGACGCGTATGAGATAAGTAGATTAGTTTACCAACCAATCGCTGATATTGTTCTTTATCCACCTCATTCCCATCTTCAATACCTAATTTGGTATTAGGTTCCACAGGTGTCTCAGCAGGTTTACACCCTAACATTCCTGTTTCCAACAAAAGATCTAGAACATATTTCTTTTGTGTTAGAGTGATGCCTGTTTTGCTCCTAGCAACTTCCATACCAAGGAAATATTTGAGAGTGCCAAGGTCTTTGAGTTCAAATTGAGCTGCTAGAAATTTCTTCAAGGTGTTCAATTCCTCAATATCATCACTTGTAAGAATTATATCATCTACATATACAATAAGAATAGCAATTTTACCATCCTTAGAGTGTTTGTGGAAGAGAGTATGATCAGTCTGTGCTTGAATGAAGCCTCTTCTTTTGACTGCTTGTGTGAATTTGTCGAACCATTCTCTGGGAGACTGTTTCAATCCATATAGAGACTTTTTTAGTTTACACACTGATCCATTTCCCTTTTCAAAACCAGGTGGAGGATCCATATAGACTTCTTCATGTAAGTCACCATTTAGGAATGCATTCTTCACATCTAACTGTTGCAGAGGCCAATCTAGATTGGCAGCAAGAGATAAGAGAACTCGGATGGTATTGACTTTAGCAACCGGAGCAAAAGTCTCATGATAATCTATCCCATGAGTCTGAGTGAAACCCTTTGCAACCAATCTTGCCTTGTATCTGTTGATGCTATTATCTGCATTGAATTTTATTGTAAACACCCATTTGCATCCTACTGCCTTTTTTCCTTTGGGTAGGGTCACTATCTCCCAAGTTCCATTTCTTTCTAAAGCATTCATTTCTTCAAAGACAGCATCCCTCCATTTTTTATCATTGAGAGCCTCATGTATATTTCTCGGTATCTTTGTACTATCCAACATAGTATTGAAAGCACGAAACCCTGGGGACAACTTTCCATATGAAATATGATTAGAAATAGGATGAGTAGTACAAGATCGAGTACCTTTTCTGAGAGCAATGGGCAAGTGTAGATCATTTTCACCATGACACTCAAGTATTGGGGTGCTGGAACTAGAACATGGTTCAGAATCCTGGCAGTGTAGAGGCTCTGGGTTATTCACACTTTGAGGAGGCTTTCGCCTGCTATAAACTTGTCCCCATTTTGAGGAGGCTCCTGATGGTGAGGATTCTGTAGCTCCCCCTGTTTCCAAAAGTAGAGGTAATACTGTGGCATTAATAGGTTCCCATGACTGATCTTCATCTACTCCTATAGACTCCCCCTGAAGAGAAGTCGAGGGGAAGAAAGGGTCATTCTCAGAAAAAGTGACATCCATAGAGACAAAGACCTTACGAAGAGAGGGTGAATAACACTTATAGCCACGTTGAGTAGGAGAATAACCAATAAAGACACACTGGAGAGACTTAGGATCAAGCTTAGACCGTTGATGGGAGGGAATATGGACAAATACAACACAACCAAATAACTTGAGAGGTAAGGAGGAGACACCTCGGAAGGAAGGGAAGATACGAACAAGACTAGAAAGAGGAGACTGAAATTTCAGAATGCGAGATGGCATTCGATTTATCAGATACGAGGCAGTGAGAACTGCCTCTCCCCAAAGATATTTAGGAACACTCGTGGTAAACATAAGAGCCCGAGCAACTTCAAGGAGATGTCGGTTTTTTCTTTCCGCAACTCCGTTTTGTTGGGGTGTGTCAGGACACGAGCTTTGGTGAAGGATGCCATGTTGGGAAAGATATTCTCCAAGAATAGAGTTAAAATACTCTTTGCCATTATCTGTACGAAGAATTTGTATAGCAACTTGGAATTGGGTTTGAACCATGGCATGAAATTTTTTAAACACGGATGCAGCATCGGACTTATCCTTTAGAAGATACACCCAACAAACTCGAGAATGGTCATCAATGAAGGTAATGAACCATCGAGTACCTGAAATATTTTTAACACGGGCTGGACCCCATATGTCGCTATGAATTAAGGAAAATGGGGAAGAGTCATGGTGAACTTTAGAAGGATAATGAGCACGAGTATGCTTGGCAAGTTGACAAATATCACAAGAAAACAAACTTGGACTTTTATTAATAAATAAGTTTGGCAACAACTTCTGAAGATAAATAAAATTTGGATGGCCTAGCCTACGATGCCACAGCATAACATCATTACATGAATCAAAAGGAAACAGAGAGTTTTTTTCTACGAAAACAGCTTCATGAGTCACATCCTCCTCAAAGTAGTAAAGTCCACCATCCTCTCTAGCACTGCCAATCATCCTCTCCGAGTCCTGTTCCTGAAAAACACAACCATGTGGAAAGAATTTAGCAAAGCAATGCAACTCAGAGGTGAGCTTGCTAATGGAAATGAGATTACAAGTCAGAGAAGGAACATAAAGAACTGATGTCAAAGTAATCAGCTCAGAAAGTTTAATGGTTCCGTGTCCTGCAATTTGGGAAAAACTGCCATCGGCGATCTTGACCCGAGAAGGTTCAGAATATGGAGTGTATGAACAAAACAAGCCAAGATTACCTGTCATATGATCAGAGGCTCCAGAATCAAGGATTCAATGATTTTGACTATCAACATGGAAAGTTGTACCTTGCTGGACCACATGACTAGTGGCCTTAGGAGGTTGCTCGTGGTAATAAAAAGAGTGTTTTGAGGAAGCCATGAATAAAAAGAGAAGGGTTGACCGTTGATGAAAAATCAAGTTTTGTAAACTTTTGATCTGACCTCTGGAACAGGAAGGGGAGAAGCTGGCGAGAAGGTCTGTGCAAGTCGCGACGGAAAAAAAACGTCTGGAAGGCGGCGCGTGGTGGCGCGTGCAGCGGCTGACGGCGATGGGTCCAGCGGCGGTCGACTCGTCGGATCCTTCTGAGTCGAATGGTCACCTCACTTTTTTTGATCGGAGGTCAGTAAACTAGGTTTCTGTGTTGGACAGATTCAAGGCGGTGTTTAGGAGGTGTTTGACGGTGATGGAAGTGTTTGGATGGTTATTTCAGATTTGAATTAGGGTAGGAACGAACCCGCTCTGATACCATATTGAAAAGAAGTTTTTGTATATTGATATTGAATAAATTACATGAGTGAGTATTTATACAAGAAAGAATCGCTAAGAATGACTAAGCGATGACTAATCAATCCTATCACAATCCTAATCACAATCAATTCTAATCAATCACAATTAATCCTAATCAATCATAATCAATCCTAATCAATCATAATCAATCCTAATTAATAGGAAATAAAAACGGAAACATGTTTGAATTCTAATTTTCTACAAATTTATATCTCTTTGCAAAATTACATAACTTTGCATCATTTAATGATTGTTAGATTGCCTATACAGGATGCTTATTGGGAAGACCCCAGGGGGCATTTACAAATCATCCAGAGAGGCAATACTTGCTGCGGAGTTACCTTCAAGATTCAACACAAGAGCAAACTGGAGGGGTGCCCTTCCCAGGGATATACTTTGTATGTTTTGCCGCCAGCATCGTCTGTCTGAACCTCTTTTTTCTCCTTTTGAAGTATTATCTGAATCATCAGGATCATGTTTGAAGGTTGCAAACTCAGGCATAGATGTGATTGAATGTGTTGATGGGGCCTCTGTAACTGCAAGTCCAAAGCAATCAGATTCAGAGGGGTTTAAATGTGAAATAAAATTACTTTCTAGGTGTGAGGATTTAATACTTTTGTGTTCCCCCACAGATTATTTTAAGAAGCAGAACGATGCCATTCATAATGCTTCATTGAAACTTCTATCATGGTTGAACCAATCTCTTAAGAATATAATTGTTCCTCTAGAGAAGCTTTATGAGACTGCAGAGAATTTCAATATCCAGATTTGTTCCAAAATCCTTTTCAGGGAGATTTTAGCTGGTCAATCAATTCACAATTGTCAGCTTAATGTGATTGAATGCAATAGATTACTTGAATCAAACTGTATGAATTCATCATATGACATGTCTGGAAATGGGGTGTGCTCGTTAAAGATTGAAGGTCCAGACTCTGGTGTCTGTCCGTGTAATGGATCTTTACCTTGTATACGTTATTCAGTTTCTTTGGTTGTGGAGGGTGAGAATATGAAAGAATTTATTGAAGTTTGTAATGAGTTTGAGTTTGAGGTGGGAGTTGGTGCTGTGATTCCCTATGTTGAGGAGGTTGTGATGCAGATGTCTGTTGGCCAGTATGCTTACTTCACTACGAACTTACTCACTCCTGAGTTGATTTTTGCTTCAGCTGGTGATTCAGTCAAAATGCTGTCCTTGTTATCTTCTGGTGAGTTGCTTTCTCCTGTCAAACCTTCCTCCCATCCCCCCACATACACACGATTGTTGATCAGCGTGTGGCTAAATTGCTGACTGTGTCAGTGGCTTTATATTCTTGTTTTTCAGAAGCATGCTGCATGGAGTATGAAATACATTTAACCAAGGTTGCAGCACCTTTGGAGGAAAGAATGGAGCAGGCTCTTTTCAGCCCTCCACTTTCAAAGCAGCGGGTGGAATTTGCAGTGCGACACATTGTAGAATCCCATGCTACTACTTTGGTATGCAAAATCTTCTCATCTTCCATTTTCTTTTGTTAATCCGAATTTTGAATTTGATGTTCTCTTTCATCACAGCTTGATTTTGGATGTGGATCTGGAAGCTTGTTGGAAGCATTGTTGAATTATCCAATTTCTCTAGAGAAAATTGCTGGTGTTGATATCTCACAGAAGGGTCTTACCCGTGCTGCAAAGGTGACAAACACTTTCTTATACCGAAGTTTTTGCTTTATCTTTTTTTAAGTATATAGATCTTACAAAAAGAAAGAATTCGGTTATGTTGTTCAAAAGGTATAGTACCGGGGAGCCTTGTCTGCTCATGATAGATCTTAAAATATGCCTGTTGGTAACAGTGGTAACAATGTAAATACTTTCTTGCTGATTGTGTAAATAGGGTAGTCAGAATCATGTAATTACGGTAATTAGGATAGTAGTGATATTTGTATTTATTCTTGTTGAAATTATAGGAATTTAGATAGGGAAGGTAGAAAAAAGAGAACAAAAATTGAATAATATGAAATTGGTATGGATTTGATATGTTACAATGTGATACAAGCTACAAAGCAATAATCCCGATTTATACTAATATTAGACTCCAAATTCTAATTAAAAAAAGAGCAAACCCTAGTGTACAAGGCTAACGACTTGCAAAGGGTAGGGATGAGGTCAGGCTTACCCTATTATTTTTGCAAAGAAGTTGTTCCCCAGACTCCAAATTCTAAATAAATAAGAAAAATAATAATGAAATATAAAGAAATAAGGAATCTATTCCTTAGAGATCATATAAGATAATATAAATTATTCTAAGATACAATCAAGATATTATGGGATATTTTTCATATATTCTACCTTGACATGGTATCAGAACCTCTAAGACCAATTGGTCTAGAGTTCGATCCTTGTTGCTCCGATTCTTCTAATAGAAAATTGAATTCCAGTACAAGGTAGTTAGGTTTGTGTATTATCCATGTTTCAAACCCAAATGACTCTTACTTGAGGAGGCATGTTAGATATATAATATAATGTGTTTTCACCTAACAGCTTAAGCTTTTGGGAGAGTTGTTTCATGACAGTTCTATATTTATTACTTTTTTGCTATATAATTCAGATCCCATTGTGCAGTTGAGACACACTAATTTCTTCAAAGTTGCTCATTTCCTCTATGACTTAATAATGCCAAAGTGGTGAATGTTATTTTTACGTGTCCTAACTCTTTGTAGAATTTGAGAAGGCTGTTATAATGCCCATTATGTGAGATGTGTCTTATATGTTCATCAAATTTAGTTGGCAATCTGTTGCTATATGCATAATGATGCCCATAACTTCTGGAAATAGCTATGTAATTGGTCATACTATTTTATCATTTTTTGTAGAATACCACGGATGTGCCTTTTTTTAGTAGAGGGAAATATTTTTACTATTGGAAGATGATGTCTTTGACTATATTCTGCTGACTTGTCTTTTAAATAGCCGCTGACTTATATTCTGTCTGATGGAACCAGAAAAATAACATTGAAATTATAGAGATAATGGAGTTCATACCTCTTTTACATACACTAATTTGCAGAAAATAAACCCCAAGAAAGCCTCAACTCTCCCTCAAACCAAATACCTAGGCTTAAGAGTTCCCTAGAGGTCTCCATTTCCCCACTAACCAATTCTGTATACATGAATACCTCACTACACACACTCACTCACCTTTTATTCTACCCATAGAATATTCTAGAATAACTAATTAACTGGCCCACTCACATTTAGGCCCATCAATACTCCCCCTTCAAAACTCACCTTGTCCTCAAGGTAAAAAAAGAGGAGAGAGGGTGTGATTGAACTTCCACCTGGATCCCATTGCTTGAAACAAATTCCCCTCCTTGCAGCTAACACGTTGCTTTTGTATCCCGTTGCACCATTGCAAATTTTTGTGCCTTTGTTGTCTTCTAATGCTAAGTTTTCTTCTGCATATTTGGGCACAAAACATGCTTTGTTTTCTTTGGCATTTCTGATCATTGAATCAGCTTTGTTTTCTTTGGCAGTTCTGGCAACGCAATAAAGTCTAATTGAAGCATCATTAACCTCTTTGGGCCCATGCAACTCTTGCACCTTTATTAATTTCAGGATCCAATTATTAAATTTTATCACTACAAGTTTTCCTTGGTCCCACATACCTGCTGAAGTAATTTGAATAGATTGGATAAAGCCTATTTGGCTTCCTGTCAACCACCATATTCTTTGGGCCAAGCCCAAAACGTTAAAATGGAAACCCATATGGCAGAATTCCAAGTCTGCCCTTCCTCTCTTTCCATCTCCTCCAACCCACTCAATTCCAGTAGGATGAGTTGTCCCGTGCTTCCATTTGATCCCTCCATCATCCAGCGGCCACTTTTGTTGCAAATTCACGAGAATCAAATTGCCGTCCGTCGCTTGCGGGCTTGTTGGCAGAAACTGCAGTAGAACCTCCTTCTTTATGCCCTTTTTACGTCGCTGATTTGTATCTTCTGCACCTTCTTCATCTTCATCTGTTTCCTTGGGTTGTCCCTGGTCAAGCACGTCCGGCCAGCAACGCGTTTGTGTCCATGATCTTCTCCGGTGAGTAGCAAAACCGATGGCCTGAACTCCTTGTGCCGCCGCCCCTGTTCGCGCGCAGTCTCCTTGTTGGTTCCAGATCTGTTTGCGCATCGTCTCCCTCTATCAGATCTGACTTCGTCTTCTTCTTCGTGCAATTATTCATCTTCTTTTTCTGTTTCTTCTTCTTCTTTTTCTTCAGTTTTTCCTGGTCTGTTCTCTCTATCCTCCTCGGCTTCTTCTTCTCGTTCTTTGTCAAACTCCTGCGCTTCACCTTCTTCGTTTTCTATGCATCTTGCTATTACCTTTTCTTTTTTTCCTTCTTTTTCTTTGTCGGTTTCTTCTGCGATTATTTCTACCTCTTCTTCTTCAGCAAGTTCCCCTTCTTCTTTTGCTGAGCTTCCATTTTTTTCTTCTTCTGCTTCCACTTCTGATTTCTCTTGTTCCGCTTCTGCTTTAGTTTCTTCCTCGAATTTTTTAAAACCTTGTGACTTCATCTGCTCGTATTCAAGTCTCCGTGTTTTCATCAACTCAATGGTTTCCTCTAACACTTTCATCACTTTTTCTAAACCTTCCCTACGCTCACTGAATCTTATCATTTTTTTATTTTTTATTTTTTATTTTTTTTCTAGATCTGGACCAGAAACACTCCCTAGATTGGAAATGCTCTGATACCAAATTGATGGAACCAGAAAAATAACATTGAAATTATAGAGACAATGGAGGTCATACCTCTTTTACATACACTAATTTGCAGAAAATAAACCCCAAGAAAGCCTCAACTCCCTCTCAAACCAAATACCTAGGCTTAAGAGTTCCCTAGAGGTCTCTCATTTCCCCACTCACCAATTCTGTATACATGAATACCTCACTACACACACACACTCACCTTTTATTCTACCCACAGAATATTCTAGAATAACTAATTAACTGTCCCACTCACATTTAGGCCCATCACTGTCCAGTATGGAAATATTGTTATGCAATGAATTAAAGATTACGTTGGATGCTTAGTTAATGGACACAGCCATTTGATCTTGGAGGACCTAGTTCTGTGTAGGAAACTGGCATCATGATTTTATTCTTGTCTTGTCTCTAAATGTGAAATTTCTTTGTTAGTAAGCTGCTTGGTTTTTGTGCATGAATTCTGCAGTTACTTAATTCAAAATTAGGCTCAAATTCAGATGCTGGTGTGGGATCAACAAGCATAAAATCAGTAATTCTTTATGAAGGTTCAATTACAAATTTTGGTTCCGGGCTACATGGATTTGATATTGGCACTTGTTTAGAGGTATTTCTTAATCGATTACATATTCTACTATTGTTAACTTCGTTTTGATATGGTGTATGGTTTGTCTTGATAAATCATCTATGATGTATGGTTTAATTAGTGTTGAATTTATAATATGTTTAGTATTTGATAAATAAGTTTGCTATCTGTTATGGACCGGATCTATATCCCAACAACTTATCCAACAAAGGATAAGGCATATTCAAATAAGATCCTAGATAACAAAGGATCAATGAATTGCACTCATATTAGGACTCTAAACTTACAGGTAACCCTTTCTATAAATAAAGGGTTGAAGCCTCTTAGGTACATACTTTTAACCTAATTACTCTTGCTGCTAACACTGAGCACACACACACAAAACTTGGCTATAAGCCTATTGCTTGTGCGCAGTGATTGATTTATTGGCTTTGAGCCAATTAGATATCTCTCTCATAGATATCTCTGAGTGCATACCTACACGGTAATACTCACGATCTACCTAGGACCAAACATTGGCGCCGTCTGTGGGGAACCGTAAATTTCGATTCCCACTCCAAAATGAATAACACTCGTGGAATAGCAAGCAACGCTCCGCCCCAGCCGCAACATCAATCCGCCATTGATCAACTCCAGGACTTCGGAAATCCAGCACTAGTGGAGGTGCAAGTAGGCGAGGCTGGGACTGAAGCAATGCCGATCATAAGTCGAGGCAACCCCGTGCCAAATCAGGTGCTTCAGCCTCATCGGGGTGAACAACCCAGAACTGACAACCACATAACTAGCACAACTCTTAACGCGATCCTATTAAGGATGCAACAAATGGAAGATAGATTCCTTCAACGACAAAGACAGGACGCCCAGAAGATGGATGCCTTGCAAAACAGGTTACGTAACCAAAACATCAACAACCAAGCCGGATAGGAAGGCCAGAACCAAGGAGACGTTAAGGGCAGAGGTACTCAGGACAGGATTCACAACGATAATGGATGTCAGGGCAATGGCCAAGATGCCAACAACGACAACCTCCATGATGATGAAGATGCTAATGACAGCCCGTTCACTGAGAGGCTCATGAACATGTGAACATGACAATTCCGCCGAGGTTCAAGAAGGTCAAAATACCTCCCTATGACGGGAGTCAAGATCCTAAGGGCCCATCTGGAGGCCTTCAAGACGAAGATGCTTTTTAACGGGATAACTGGACCTATCAAGGCCAGGATCTTCGCAACTACTCTAACAGGTCAGGCAATGACTTGGATCACGAGGTTATCTAGGAACTCGATTGACACGTTTGAAGACCTCGCTCGCACATTCCGCCTGAATTTTTCTACCAATAAGGCCCACCCTATGCCCGCCTATGTATTAGGTCGAGTTAGGCAAAAAGAAGGAGAAACGTTGAGAAAATATCTCGATTGTTTCAAGGAAGCCGCACTCAAAGTGTGGAACTTAACAGAGACAGTTCATCTACACTTGATAATCTCAGGATTGCCTGGTGAATCCCCTTTGGCCAAGTTCATATACAAAAGCCTGGTCAATGATTTGGAAGAATTTAGACAGAGGTCGGACAAATACATTGATGTGGAGGACATGCAGCATGCCTACGGTGAAGACTGAGGCCAAAGTCCTAGTCGACAGAGACCCAACAAGAAGAATAAAGATAAAGATCGGCATGGACCCAGGAAGGAGGCCGAATCTTACAATAAAAGACCAGATGAACGCTCATCAAGAGCTAAATTTGACAACTATGCATCTCTCAATGTTGTCTAGATCTCGGATTTGGAGAGAGGTTGCTCAGACTGAGCTGCACAATGTCAAAAGACCTAAGCCCATTAGGAACAAGGGCGGACTTGACCTAACTAAATACTGCGCCTTTCACGATGGAAATGGCCATACTACAGATGAATGTTGGGACTTCCGAGATGCTATTGAGAAGCACATTAGAGAGGGAAAGTTGAAGCAATATCTCATCCGCACTCAAGGAAAGAAAAATAACAAGCGCAGGCAGCGAGGTCGTAGCAGGAGCCCAAGCCCAAAAAGGGAGAATAAGAAAGACTGAGACAAAGATGGTCACGACAAAAGCAAGAAAGCTGAAACCAAAGATGATGAATATCAAGATGCCAAGTATGAATGCAGTGTAATAAGTGGAGCACTCAGAGGTGGCAATGATACTGCCAGTGCCAGGAGAAAGTACCTCAGAGAAGTCATATCAGTCAAAGACAGACCTGTTTTCAAAGAAAAAAGGGGGAAAGTCGAATCCCCCAAGGTTATTTTTCACTGAGGAAGATTTGGATAAGGTGGGCCCAGGCCACACTAATGGCCTAGTGATTATCGGGATGCTGGTCAATTGCCGAGTCAGAAGAATGTTCATAGACCCCGGAAGTTCAGCTGATATTCTCTTTTGAAAGGCTTTCCAAAAGATGAATCTGGGCGAACAGGATTTATAACCATGCATAATTGAGTTAGTAGGATTTAGCGAAGAACGGTCTCCCCCTAAAGGATACATGGATTTAAAACTCACAATGGGAACTAGGGAGGCATTCCGAGCTAGAAAAATCCGCTTCATTGTGGTTGATGCAACCTCATCCTACAATGTCATAATTGGCCGACCTACAATTCACGAAAGGGACATGTTCGTCTCCACTAAGCATTAAGCTTTGAAAATAGTGGGGTCAAAGAATGAGGTCGTCACTATTAGAGGAGATCAGAAAGAAGCCAGAGAGTGTTATTATGAAACACTCAAGGTATCTCAGGGCGGCCCGTCATCCCTCCCAAGAATCAGAGAAGGAGAGAAATCTCGGCCAAGGCAGAATCTGTGTATCCATGCGGCAACCAAATCAACATGGTCGAGCTGGATATGAGGGAGGAGTTACAAACTCGAGACTGGAGCCTCAAGGAGAGCTAGAAATCGTCAAAATAGGAGAAGACGACAAGCGTTACACCAAGATCGAGAAGAACATGAAAGCTGAGATAAGAGAACAACTTATCTCATTATTGAAGGAAAACTCTGAAGTATTCGCTTGGAAGGCATCCGCGATTCTGGTGTAGATCCCACCTCTTGCTGCCACCAGCTTTCCATGTATCCTGGATCTAAGCCGGTATCCCAGAAGAAGAGAAAGATAGGTCATGACCTACGTCAGGCATTGAGCGAACATGTTGATGAACTATTGGAAGTCGGTTTTATCAGAGAAATATAATAATACCACGTGGCTTTCTAATGTCGTGATGGTAAAGAAGCCAGTGGGAAGTAGAGAATCTGTGTTGACTCTACCGACCTCAATAAGATCTGCCCAAAGGACTTGTATCTTATGCCTAATATAGATCAACTAGTTGATAACTCTTTGGATTTTCAACTACTGTCCTTTATGGATGTTTATTTCGGATATAACCAAATTCCACTACACCCTAAGGATCATGAGAAGATCGCCTTTATTTCTGAGAAAGGGAATTTTTGCTACAATGTCATGCCTTTCGGTCTCAAAAACTTCGGGGCAACATACTAGAGAATGAGGATCCAAGTCTTCCAAAACCAAATTGGAAGAAACTTGGAAGTCTATATAGACGACATGATTGTCAAATCGATCCGGCGTGAAGATCTCGTAGCCGACTTGAAAGAGACATTTAAACAACTGAGATCTCAACGCATAAGATTCAACCTGGCCAAATGTGCGTTTGGGGTGTCAGCAGGTAAGTTTCTGAACTTCATGCTTACAAACAGGGGAATTGAAGTTAACCCCGACAAGTGCAGAGCTGTCCTGTAAATGAAGGAACCCCAAGATCCGCGGAGAAATCTCTCCCTTTCTTCAAACTCCTGGAAAAGGAGGCTGAATTTGGATGGGGAAAGGAGTGTAAAATGGCATTTGGAGAGATAAAGAAATGTCTTGTGTAACGCCCCAATTTCATAATCGGATTGTTAACTTACATATGGTACTTTTAAGTGCATAAGTAATTGCTTTAGCGGAAGACTTTATTTGCATTTCACCATTACCTAGTGTAATTAAGTGAGTAAACTTTTTCTTTTCTTTTTTATAGATATTAAAAAAAAAACCACTCTCCGTTAAACCTGACTAGTGAGTGTAGGGTGGAGGAATTCCTTGTACGCAGCCTTACTGTAACACTCCATGTATACCCGGTTTGTTAACATGCCATCGTATTAAGCCACGCTTAATTAAATTTGCGTAATAACTTTTTACTTTCAATTATGACGTCATTATAATTAGCCAAGTTGATTACTTAATCATTTTCATAAAAACATTGCTTGTATGTGAATTGTAAAAGACAACTATCTACACTGAATAATCTCATATATATAAATCATTAACTGTGGCTCTAGTCACGGCACTACAACACATAGGCCGGACAAACCCTGATAGTTTATACAACTCAAGGCTAAACAACGATACATAATCAAATGTGGCATGGACAATTCCCATGCTCACCAAATAAGGCAACAAAGTCCAACATCAGTTTCAGCAATAACAACATAATCATAAAGATAACATAACAGCATCCAACATATAATCATAACAGCAGACATCTAACTCAGCTCCGGCCTCTTGCCGCCCGAGGTCTCAACCTCAGGGTTACCTGAACCTGAAATATGTGCCCCAAACGTGGGGTGATACTCACCGGCAAGTATATCGATCGCACAAGTAATATAATGATAAGAAAAGTTCGTCTCCACAGGGATTGTGATCATATATCAAATAATCGTTCTTTCAAGAATGGAAGAGTTCAAATAGTTTGTGACAAATATTGTCGATTTGTGTAAAAGTGAGAACTGAAAATAAAGACTTGTTTTTGGCTTTTTGTTATGAGAATTAAAACAATAAAAATGAAAATTGATTTGTGAAAATATGAGAAAAACATTGTAGCTAGAGTGCACTCACTATATGATCCCCACTTCTTACTTTGGATTGATTTAAAAATACTTATTTATATAAATACTCAGATAATTATCATCTAGAATTAATTAGTTAAATTCCAATCCCTTGGCAATTTAACCCTTTAACCTCAATTGG